CTATGTTCTGGACCTCTCCTCCCCCGAGAAAGCAAAGCTAAATATTTTTTTATTGTCGTCTCCTTAAAATGTGAAAGTGCTCCTGAAATGTGGACTTTCATGGATGCCATGAAGGACAGTGGATTTTCAAACAATAAAAAGACAATGAAAATTTCCAGTCCTTGAATGGCACAATTGCTATAGGCTAAAGGCCTGTTTAAACGGATCCAACATTGTTGGACCAACATCATCCAACAATGTTACTATACTAGATATGACTGCTTCTCTTTCAAATCTTTTTGGTTAGATAAGCTTTACTCAAACTCTAAACCTAGTCTTGACAAAATATTTGAAAAAGAAGCCGTTTGAGCCATTATTTCAACAATGTTGGATGATGTTGGCCCAACAATGTTGGATCCGTTTAAACAGGGCTTAAGTGTTAAGGCCCATTTCCACTCAAGAAAAATTTCCACGGACAAGAAATGTTTCCAAAAATATCATTGTTAAAAGTTGAAAATTTTCAACTTCAAAATTTTTTTCCGACTGAAAATTAGTGTCGGCCAATCATATTTCACAAAATTTTCTTTCTGCGGAAAATTTTCCCGAGTTGAAATGGGTCTTTATAGAAAGGGCCCATTCAGAAACTCGTTATTTTTCTCACCTGACTTGCATGACACGTGACCCATTCCTCTCGTATCTTTTCTTCATAATCACCGATAGCATGTTTCGTCAGTTTTCGTAACGTAGCAACCATGGACTCCTCGACTTTCCCCAGCCATTCTTCGACATTACCTCTCGCTTTCAGACCCTGGAGGATAAAGGAATTAACATGGATGAGCTTTCTACAGCTTGTTTAAATGAAGGTCAGAGTTTAGACATAACATCAACGCAGTCTAGACCTAGGCCTTTACTCGGCCGGTTTTGGCAGGTTTGGTCAATCTCGCCTCGGGCTAGCATTTGGAAAGTACTGCCTCCCAGTCTTCTCATGTGAAAAAGCGCCGAGTATTAAAAATAAGAATAAAAATAGAAGGCCTAGATCTAGGCTGACATCAACGTAGATCTGTGGGTTTAAAACGCAAGCCTTACTTTTCCAAGTGGGACTTTTTCCTTCTCAGGAGAGACCATAGCTATAATATCATTGGTCTTTGTCTCAACAACTTTACTGGCTGAGGACGCTAAAGGGAAAACACAATGAATGGATTACATGTTTTTAGGACAAAAATCCAGGGCCGTTCCTAGCGCGATAATTTGG